GGCTGCATCCTTCTTGGCCAACACATCTAGTTTGTAGTGTGATGCAAACGTGGACGGTGTGGACCACGTTGCTGCTCTACAGATCTGGTCAAGTGGAACTCCACGCAAAAAAGCTTGAGAGGTGGAGAGTGATCTGGTTGAGTGGGCCACCATGCGAGCTGGTGGTTGCTTTCCTGCCAATTGGTAGGCTAGTCGGATCGTAGAAACGATCCAAGAGGCTATGCCCTGGGAAGAGACAGGGTGCCCCATCATGTCTTTCCTGTATTTTAAAAAGAGCCTTGGGGATTTCCTATGAGGGGATGTCCTATGTAAATAGAATGAAATGGCCCTCTTAACATCCAATGAATGGAGGGCCACCTCAAGTGGAGACGATGGATTCGGGAAGAACGCTGGTAGTATGATGTCTTGAGACATGTGGAAGTGAGAGACTACTTTAGTCAAAAAAGTGACATCAGTACGAAGGACAACCTTGTCATTGTGGAACCTCACGTACGGTGGGTCCGATCTGAGGGCCGTGAGTTCACTGGCTCTTCTGGCCGAGGTGATAGCCACCAGGAATGCCGTTTTCCAAGAGAGGTGAGATATGTCATTGGAGGCCATGGGCTCAAAGGGCGGCTTTGATAGCTGGGATAGCACCAGCTCTAGGCTCCATTGTGGGGGAGGGGGGGCGACAGGAGGGTGGATATTTTTGTATCCTTTCAAAAACAATTGAACCAAATGATCTTGAAAAAGGGACGGCAAGCCACATTTTCTTCTAAAGGATGATATAGCAGCTAGGTAGCATTTAACTGAAGAGAAGGAAAAACCTTTATTAGAAAGGTGGACTAGGAAGTCCAGCACTATGGAGATGGGAGCTGTAGTAGGGTTGTGGCCAACTGATTTTGTGAATGTCGTGAATAATGACCACTTATAGGCATAAGACTTTGTGGTAGATGGTTTATGAGCAGCGAGGAGTATGCGTGATACGTCCTCTGATAGATTCATTGTGGTCTGATCCTCCATGCCGTTAAGCGGAGGGAGGGGAGGTCTGGGTGGAGAACGAGCCCGTTCTCCACCGTGAGAAGGTCTGGCAAGGGATCCAGATGGAAGTATTCCCTGTTGGAAATTTGGAGGAGTGTGGCAAACCAGTGTTGGCGTGGCCACCAAGGGGCGATCAGGATGCAATCCGAGTTGTCCTGAATTATTTTGGCTATGACTGGGGATAGGAGAGGGAGGGGTGGAAAAATGTAGATGAGGTTCGGTGTCCATCGGAAGAGGAAGGCGTCTCCGAGACAACCTGGGGATGCGTGAGGGAGGAGTCTTGCGCAGTATGTTGGGCAGTGGGTGTTCATTGGGGACGCGAATAGATCTATTGCGGGCGTCCCCCATTTGTGTGTGATGGTTTGGAATTGGGACATGTGGAGATGCCATTCGTGGTTGTTCTTTGTTGTTCTGCTTAGTGAGTCTGCCAATGTATTGTCTTGGCCTGGTAGGTGGATGGCCGAGAGGAGGATGTTTTTCTGAATGCACCATTCCCAGATGCGAGTTGAGATTGACGTCAGTGTTTGGGATCGAGTTCCCCCTGTTTGTTGATGTAATATTTGACTGCAGTATTGTCCGTTACTATTTGGACTATATGGTTGGAGGTGATGCGGGAGAAGGCTCGAAGGGCCTTCTCCACCGCCATCATTTCTAGTGCATTTATGTGGAAGCGGCGCTCCTGAGGGAGCCAGTGACCGCTGATTTTGAATCCCTTGAGATGTGCTCCCCAGCCTGAGTTGGAGGCGTCCGTTGTCAGGGACATGGACGGATGTGGCTGTATGAATGGCATGCCTAGGCGAACATTGTGTACCTTTGTCCACCATGTGAGGGAGTGTAGCACTACGTGTGGTGGGTGGAGGATTCGGGACTGCGGATCGTGGAGGGGGTCGAAAGTTCTGATGAACCAGTTTTGTAGAGGCCTCATCCGAAGCCGGGCAAAGGGGGTTACGCTGGTAGTAGATGCCATATGGCCAAGTATAGATTGGATGGCCCAGGCCGAGGCCTGTTGTGTTTGGATGAGTGAAAGAATAGCTTGTTGGAGTTTTAAAAAGCGGTCCTCTGGGAGGAAGGCTCTTTGGAGTGTGGAGTCTATGATGGCTCCTATGAATTGAATGCGTTGTGTTGGTTGAAGATGAGATTTTTTGTGGTTCACCACTAGGCCGAGATCCTGTAAAAGAGATAAGGTGTAATGAATATCTGTGCATAATTGAGACTTTGAAGTCGAGGCCAACATCCAGTCATCCAGGTACGGGAAAACTGTTATGCCTTGTTGGTGGAGGTGTGCGGCTATGACCGCCATGCATTTTGTAAACACCCTGGGGGCGGTGGACAAACCAAAAGGTAGAGAATTAAACGAAAAATGGTAATTTTGGACCGTGAAGGTAAGAAACCTTCGGTGGGAGTGTCTAATTGAGATGTGGAAGTATGCATCTCATAGGTCAACTGTTGCTAACCATGCCCCTTCGGGAATGAAGGGAAGAATGTTGGGGAGAGTGACCATGCGAAATCTGCGTGGGGTAATGAAAGTGTTGAGTTTGCGGAGGTCCAAGATGGGCCGGAGTCCACCATCTTTTTTGTCTATGAGAAAGTAATGAGAGTAGAAGCAGGTGTTAGATGTGTGTGAAGGTATGGAGGAGATTGCTCCTTTAATGAGCAAGGAGTGAACCTCGTCCCATATGGTCTGGGAGGGTTGTGTGACGATGACTTTCCCAACAGGTGGGTAGTCATCAAACTCAATTGCATAACCTCTATCAATTATATCAAGGACCCAAGTGTCTGTGGTTATGGATTGCCACTGTGGGAGGAATGAATGTAGTCTATTGAGGTAAGTGAGGTGTTGGGTGGTTGGTGGGGGAGGGAAGGAAATGTTAAAAACGTCTTTTGTTGTTGTTTGGGGGTCTGGTACCACGGTACTGACCTCTTGAGGGAAGTGGAGGGCGTCTCGTAGCCGCAGTGGGCGCATATGGTCGTTGTCGTCCTCTGTAGAATGAGGTGTTGTAAGGTTTGTTGTAAAATTGGGGGCGATAATAGTAGGAGCCCCAGCGCTGTCGTTGGTAAGTGTACGGTTGTTGGTCATATTTGTACACTGTTTGTTTCATCTCATGAGAGTGTTTTAGTTGTGAGTCGGTCTCAGGGTTGAATAGGCCTGCCTCATCCATAGGGAGATCCTCAATGAGAGAACGTTGAGATTGAGAAAGGATCGCATCTCTAAGCCATGCATGACGGCGAAGGGCTACTGATCCTGCAATTAGTTTCCCAGAATTATCAGCAGTGTTTCTTGCTAGGTCTTTTTGCAGTTTGGCTAAGAGAAGGGCCTCTTGTTGGAAAGCCTTAGCCAGTGGTTGCTCAGTTGGTGGTAAGAGTTCTAGGTATGGGGATATCTTGTTCCAGAGGAGAGTCTGGTAAACACTCATGTAAACCCCATAATGGGCCATGCGTGCGAAAAGGCATGCTGAGGAATAGAATTTTTTGGCCATAGAGTCTAGCTTCCTCCCTTCTTTGTCAGAGGGGGATGCTTGGTTTCTTTGGATAGGTCTTGGTTGAGCATCGGTCACCACAGAGTTTGCCTTAGGCATCTTAGAGAGCCATGAGGCTGTGGAAAGATCAATACGGTATAAGTTTTCTGCTCTTTTAGGGGTTGCTGGAACCAAGGCTGGGGCAACTCCTGTATTTTTTAGAATTTTCAAGAGAAATGGAAGTGTGGGCAACACAGTAGATGTAGGTGTTTGTTGTTCAGTAGAGGTAAAGCATGGATCTGTAACAGTATCTGAAGGCTCAGGGGTGGCAAGATTTAGGGCTCTGGCAAGTCTTATCAACAGAGCTGAGAAATTTTTAAAATCTTCTAAGTGTTGGGGGGAAGGGTCAGGGTCTGGTTGGGGATCCTGAATCACTGGTGTGTCATCTGTGGATTGTAAGTCAATTGTGTCTGTTTCCAGTTGGGGGGGCATGTTAGGTTCCAAAGGAAAACTCTGGGGATCCAACTCCCCTTGGGGATCTGGAGGTCGAGATAGTGTAGCTGAGGGAGGCTCACGTGGGGGTTGGGGGAAATTTGGATCAGGATAGTGGATAGGATGGGCTCCCCTGAATGAATCGGGGGGGGGGGGTGGGTAGTAGAAGGGGTAAACCGGGAAGGGAGGAGGGGGAGGGTACATATGGTAAGGGTACTCTTGGTACCCATAAGGCTGTTGGTGCAACGGAGGCGCTGTGCGCATCTTCTTGGGAGGGGGAAAGGAGAGGGTTGTAGGCTGCCGCGGAACCGGGGATGGCGAGCGGCGGCGGCGTCCGCTGGATTGCGCCAAAGCGCTGGGCTGCCGAGGAGATGGTGATTCATCCGGTTCCGGGGTTTGGGGAGGGCTGGGCGAAGGAGGGGGTGAGCTTTGAGAGGGCGGGAGAGGAGGGGGAGAGAGGGAGGGGTCAGCTGGAGGCTGCGGTTCCAGCTCCATGTGGGGGTCTAGGAGCTCGAGGGGAGGAAGCTGGGAGGGGTCCTCCATTTGGAGGAGAGTGGGAAGCGGTTCCTGGAGTTGCAGGGTGGAACCGGAGAGAAAAGGCACCTTTTGTAGCACAGGAGGACTCAAGGGCTGAACACCAGTGAGTTGCCGTCCCTTTTTTTGTTTGTTTGGTTTTTCTTTTGATTTAGCAGACCTCGTGGTCTGTTTAGGTGCTTTAGATTTCTTTTTAGGCGGCTCCCCAGTGGGAGTGTCTGCCTGATTCCTATCCCGCCTATCCCCAACATGTGGGGAGGGAGGCTGGGAGGTTTCTTGAACAGGGGAAGATTGGGAGGGGATGGGAGCCGTTTGCGGGGCCAAGGCCCGTTCGTAAAGTAGAGCTTTGAGCCTGGCGTCTCTGCCTTTACGAGCTCTGGAAGTAAAACCAAGACAAATTTCACAAGTTTGGAGGTTGTGAGTTTCTCCCAAACATAAGAGGCATTTGAAATGTTTGTCTGCTTCGGGGAGGTTAGCCCCGCAAGCCGAGCAATTTTTAAAACAGAGGGAAGACATCTAGCCTGAGTGGAGAGTCGTCAGTCGGTCCGTGGTTGGGCAAGGAGAGGTCTGGTAGTTGAAAAAACGGTCCTGAGTCAAGAGTCCAATAGAGTCCAAGAGAAGCTAAGAGAAGTCCTGGCGATGCTGCCTGTTTGGCGCGGAAAAAGGAACTACCTCTCAGGCGCACGCCGGGGCTTATATACCGGGGGGGCGGGGAATGGGCGGGACTTGTGTTTATTCATTAAAATAATCATTTAAAAAATCATTAAATATTCTAGAAGTTCCGGATTGCTGCGCATGCGCAGGGAGAACCCATAGGTGTGCATTTCACGGAGGACACGAAGAAAAAACAGATTCAACAGCCTTTGGGAGGTCAGTCCTTCAGGTGGATATATGAGTACAATAGTCAGACTTGCTGTGTAGATGATACGATATAATGGACTGTTTCTTAAGCCTCCCTGAAAATGAGAGGTTGATACTTACCATGACTGGTCATTCTAATGAGACCAAAAGAGTTATTTACTCCAACCCAGCGAATACATAAATAGATAAACAAATAAATATATAGACTATAAAAAACTGAGGAGAATGGCATTAGTGAGCAAAGGGTCCAACATTTTAGAATTCTGAAGATCTTGCCCTGAACTGTTTGACATGAGAGGTTAACTGCTCCTTAAGCCTGACCGAGAACGAAAATATGGGTATCCAAAACCAACTTCAATTAGATGCTGTATTGTGGAAAATGAATAGAGACCATCCACCTCTGTAACCAAGTTCAAATATTACAGGAGAATTTTGATTACTTACAAACCACACATTTTGCAACATAGAGGAGGGGAACCACATCAAACTGAAGATGGTGAAAGCTAATTTCTCAGAACACAACATCTTGGCTTAGCATTCTGATATCTAAGTCACTCTCTCTACCATCCATATGGACAATTTTAGATTTTGGAGTATTTTGGATTTCAGAATTCCAGATAAAAATGGTCAGCCTGTACACACACTAAGCTAAATTTCTAACACTGTAAAAATACAGAGTACTTATCTGGACAAGTAGCAGCTATAAACAGACTATACAAAAGCCATACTACAAGTGAAGACAATGAACTTACTATTTTAAATCTAAGGAGCTGTGCTTTCTAGTGACCTACAAAAGCTGTCTTTGTCTTCAACCAACATCTGACATGCTCTGCATTCAAACAGCAAACTGAATTCATTTAGATGATGTATGTATACCCACCCACACAATACACAAATATCAAGGCTCCAATGGGATCCTAATCACCATTAAGCTATAAGAAACTCCTACAACTTTAAAGACTCAAACTAGGAAACTCTGTATCTAAACTAACCTTTGGTAAAAAAAATAAAATACAAGTGAGATGCTTCAAAGTAGGTCAGGTATAATATTATTCCAACAGTGAAGCATGAGACTGAATCTGCCAAGGGTGGTAATCACCAGCATTCTTGAGATGAAGAGCCCCATTGTTTCTAAAAACACATATCAAACAGCCAGGCCACCCCCAACAAAGAAATTCAGTTTCTGCAGCTCAAAGCATCATAGCTGTGCCAGAAACAAGTGGTTTTCAACTGCAGGCATCTTGCTGCTTGTGACTTCAAAGAAAATAATTTTTTAACACACACACACACATATTTGTGAAATTAACAATATACCAAGCCAGATTCGTACCTTTGTTTATATTTCAAAGACAAATCCTTCCAGTATGCAGTTTCTTCATCTGGACTTAAAAACTTTGGAATTTCCTCACTGTCCATGATCAGGATCACCTGTAAAAAAGGTACAGAACTTAGTAACATATCCCTCTGATGCTTTCCCAGTTCCAATTAAACAAGCTCCATGACTGCAATGCTACAAGCAAGTATACTGAAAGTATCTCTCCCCTTCTATTCCTCTTTTCAAAAAACTGGAGACGAGTTTCTAGTATATTTGTTTTGTTCACGCAAACACAACCAGAGCCACAGCTTTCCTAGTAAGATTAATTACGTTACATTTTAGATTAAACTACACTTATATTTTAAACGAGCCTCTGACTCTACAAACACTGCTTAAACATAAGCAGAATGATAATAGAAAGGATCACAAGGTTGCAAGAAATCTGGTTAAGGAATGATTGTTCATATCCTTAGCAATGAAAAGGGCATTTCATCTATCAACAGAAAGAATTATTGTCCATAGGATTAACACCCTTGGAATTCAGTGCACAGGACAAAAGTAAAAGATCTACGAGCCATTGCATTTCAGCAAAGATCTGTCCTTCCAATATAGAAAGACAGAAACTGTGAGTGTAGTTTCATTCATTAGCTTCATGCTTCAAACTGTCTTTTTTCCCTTGCAATTTAAGAGGACATGCCCCGGCTATTACAGTTTGTCCTGCTCCAGTCAAGATTTTGTATTAATCTTATTATTCCCTAACATTCCCATTAACATCAGTTCTACATTCACTTTGAGTGGTATTTTCAATACTTTTTTTTCCAATTTTTCCATTTTTAAAAAACTTTTGAATATTTCCTACAAAAACAATCAATGCAAGCATATGGGTCAAAGTAAATCTCTTCTGCTAAAAGGCTGATATTTATTTTATCACATGTGAGGTAGTCTTTTCATCGACTGCTGCAAACAGGGAAGAATAAACTGGATTTCCCATAGACTTTTAGAGAAGAGTCATGCATTTCTCATTTTGCACATCTGCGCAGACATGAATGTTGTCAGCCAAACAATCTATAGTTTCTGACAGACATCAGTAGCCATTTTTGTCCCTCCAGGCACAAAAGAAATTGGCACATCTCACTTTTCTGTGACCCACATTTCTAATCTGAGCATTCAGAGCACATGCAGATGGGCACACAGAGAGTACTTCATTGCATTTGACTGTACTGAGAATGAGAAAGAAATAGCATGGTAATCTCAATTTTTAACCTAAAAGGCAACTTAATGCAAGTATCATGTAGAAGAGTGGTAGATAAATATAAACACAAATACATCATTTCCAATGTTCTGCCTCCCTTGCCCACTCACTTGTATGATCTTGTCCATAGGTCAACACAAATGGCTGAATGTAAACTTCAGCTGTCACATAGAGACATCCATGTGGGAAATAGAATAAATCAAGTTGCTAAGTGGCATCTTTGGTCTTGACAGTATTTCCTGCCTCTCTATTAGTGAGGCAGTAGTCCTTGTGCCAAAGTGCTATTTAAAGCTGTCTGCACCATTCTAGGAATGAGCTATTTGTGGGTTTTTCCATGCCACCATGTCTCTGCTTTCCCATTGATTTTGCTTTAGAGTTAATATAGAGCACAAAAATATTAATGTGGCCCAACATTACTTTGACCTCAGAGATAAACTTGCCCAACATTACTTTGACCTCAGAGATAAACTTAATAGTTTGGAAAACACAGCTCATGCTGTATGTCCTAGAAACACTTTAGATATGTTTTGCTTGGATTCAATAACCTTGGAGTAATCGGAATACACAGAGAACAGTGTTTTCAATGAGGAATGGGCAGCCATTGCAGAGAAGGCAGTTCAAAGGAATGTATCTTCTCACTCCAACAAACATCCGAACTGCAATTTCACAAATGACAGTTGGCAAGGGGGCAATATATGTTCAGAAAGTTCATATACAAAAAGAAGTCACAGATAAAGCTCAAGGTCTTCCAAACAGGTGGTTTTATAGAGCACAAAACCACACTAACCAACAACATATAAATGGCATACTACAAAATCTAATACAAGTACAATTAGAAATTTGCAAATTTTAAGGCTCTTTGGCAAAGTAGTGGAAAGAGAAAAAAATATCTGAAGATGCACAATAGCCTTGTTTTCTGAAATTGCAAATAGTTCTTTCTCAACTTTAAATAGAGAGCTCGAATAATCTGGAAACTATGAGAACAAGCTGTGAACAATACTTTTCCAATTCAAATTTTGTCTCTTTCATAGCCTCCCTGGTGGTCTTAGGTAAATTAGGGCCCTTCCATACAGCCATATAACCCAGACTATCAAGGCAGATAATCCTCAGCTTCACATTTATAGAATGAAAACAATAATGCTATCAGGGTTGGGGGAACAATTACCTGAGATCATCAGGATGATTTATGAGAACACTCAAAAGCAGAAGAGAGCGACAAAATTATTCCACCGGGAAATGGAAGAGGAAAAAGCCATAGGAACAGTAGTCCCTTCTGCCATATAATCCAGATTATCAAAGCAGATAAACTACATTACCTACTGGATTATCTGAATCTACACTGCCATATAATCCAGTTCAAAGCAGATAATCTGGATTTTATATAGCAGTGTAGAAGGGGCCAGTATTTCCCTTGAATCTGAAAGAAGAGAGGAAATCCTGAGCAGCATGGGCTACAATAAAACTGCTAATGGTTCATGCCATGTCCCAACTGCTTATGCTGCCTCATAGACCTGTCAGTGGCTTATGATACTATAAACCACCGCCTCCTCCTGAGAAAAACGTATAATATCACACAGGATTACCACCTCACCCGCCTCATAGAAAACCTGCTACAAAACAGGAGCTTCTTTGTTGAGTTACAGGGCCAGAGAAGTAGATGATGGAAACAGAAGAACGGCCTGCCTCAGGGGAGCATGCTTGCTCCATCCATGTTCAACATCTACACAAATGACCAGCCACTGCCAGAAGGGACAGAGAGTTTCATCTATGCTGATGATCATGCCATTACCGCTCAAGCAGGGTGCTTTGAGATGGTAGAACAGAAGCTCTCCGAAGCTCTAGGTGCTCTTACCTACTACTGATCCCTAATCCTACTACTGACCAGCTGATCCCTAATCCATCTAAAACATAGACATGTGCCTTTCACCTTAAGAACAGACAAGCATCCCAAGCTCTGAAGATTACCTGGGAAGGAATCCCACTGGAGCATTGCAGCACACCCAAATACCTGGGAGTCACCCTAGACCGTGCTTTGACCTACAAGAAGCACTGCCTGAATATCAAGCAAAAAGTGGGTGCTAGAAACAATATCATACGAAAGCTGACTGGCACAACCTGGGGATCAGAACCAGACACAGTGAAGACATCTGCCTTGTGCTATGCTACTCTGCTGCTGAGTATGCATGCCCAGTGTGGAACACATCTCACCATGCTAAAACAGTAAATGTGGGATCTTAAAGAGACATGCCGCATTATCACGGGGTGTCTGCGCCCTACACCACTGGAGAAATTACACTGTTTGGCTGGTATTGCACCACCTGACATCCACCAGGAAGTAGCAGCCAATAGTGAAAGGACCAAGGCAGTGACATCTCCAGCTCATCCCTTGTTTGGGTATCAGCCAGCACGTCAACGACTTAAATCAAGAAATAGTTTTCTTGAAATAACGAGAGTCCAAAAGTGGCAGGCTCAAACCCAGAACCTCAACCAATGGCTGATATCAAATGAGAGACTCCCTCCTGGGCACACAGAAGACTGGGCAATTTAGAAGGCACTGAACAGACTGCGCTCTGGCAGCACGAGATGCGGAGCCAACCTTAAGAAATGGGGCTACAAAGTGGAATCCACGACATGCGAGTGTGGAGAAGAGCAAACCACAGACCACCTGCTGCAATGCAACCTGAGCCCTGCTACATGCACAACGAAGGACCACCTTGCTGCAATACCAGAGGCACTCCAAGTAGCCAGATACTGGTCAAAGGACATTTAATCAACTACCAAGCTTGCAAACTTTGTGTTTTGTCTGTTTTTATTTTGTTCTGTTAGAAATGTAATACAATGGTCTGGTTGCCCCTGACACGATAAATAAAATAAATGCTGCCAAAAGATGCTGGACATATGGAAACTATGGCAATGGCATCTGTTCTAAACGCAAATAAAAGTGACAGCAGTATTATTTATTTATCTATTACAGTTATAAGCTGCCCTTCTCACCCTGAAGGGAACTCAGAGCGGCTTACAAATTATAATTGTTTCTGATGTGTGCGCTATTTTCTTTGGACTTCATTCTGGTCTTAATCTTATACAATAAAGACACAAGGAGTCAATAATGACACTAGAAGTTGGGCAGCCAGGTTACTGAAGTACTCTTGCCCACAAGGCTGTGGGGCCATGGGGGTACCCTGTCCAGGAGTTTTAACGCAGCAGAGCGGAAGAAGTGTTGCTTTGGCCCCACGCAGATGTTGCTATGGCCCTGCACAGGTATGATCAGCAATCAGCAGTAAGATTTTTGTTTCCATCATAACATACTAATTCCATCATGTTAATTAACATGCTAATATCTAAGGCACTGGTATTTGGAAAGTAGAGATTTCAGAAGCCAGGGAAGAATTTAAATAGGTGGTTCGCCAACTTATTTTTTCTAAATTCTTTGCTTTAAAAAACAGGACAGGATATCATAATAATCCAAGCAGTTATAAGGCATTTTAATAACAGCTGCTTGTGGCGTATAGCCATTTCACCAAAAATATACTTTTGCCTAAAACAATTCCTTTATTGTTCACTGGAATGTCTAAGGGCCCTTCTACACTGCCATATAATCCAGATTATTAAAGAAGATAATCAACATTATCTATTTTGAACTACACTCAGTGTTTTGAGTCTACACTGCCATATAATCCAATTCAAAGAAAATAATCTGGACTTTAAATGTCAGTTGGTTATGCTGGAGAGTAGAACAAAATGGAATACAGCCCACAAGTACACCTCACTTCCTACCCTACCTTCGGGTTCTGGTCCTCCAACTACTTTCTCCACACCAGAGTAAATAGTAAATTATCATTAAAGCAAATATTAAGTTAA